TGGGACCTCTGGTTTAGAGCAACCTCATGCTGACCGGTGCCTGTTGGGCCCTTGCTGAAGGACATCACCAGACCCCGCAGCCTCTTGGTCACCAGACCTGCCCCATGTCTTCTTCAGGGAGGTTGATGCCCTAGTGCAGGACTGCCAGCTTCGGTGGGTGGGGTGAGGAAGGTCTGCCTTCACCTGTGCCCACCCTGCGTCCTGGCCCCACTTGTTGATTAGACTTTTCTTTTCCCCTGTGAATCGTCTTGGCGTCCTTGTTGAAATGAGTTGATTGTGAGTGTGTGGGTTTATTTCTGGACTTGGAGTTCACTTCCGTCGGTCTCTGCATCTGTCTACACCAGTTCCTCACCGTCTTGACTACTGTTGCTTTGTGGTGAGATTTGAAATAAGGAAGTGTGAGTCCTCCAACTTTGTTGTTTTTTCAAGATAATTTTGGCTACTGTGGGTTCTTAAAATTTTCATATGAATTTTAAGATACATTTGGCAATTTCTGCAAAAAAAAAAAAAACACCAAAAAAACAATAGCGTAGATTTTGATAAGGATTTGTAAAGAGCCTGTAGACCAGGTCTGGGGATGCCACCGCCTTAGTATTACATTTTCTGATCCATGAACATGGGATGTCTTCATTTTCACTTAACTCTGTTTTATAGTTTTCACAGTATTAGTTTACATGTCTTTTGTTAAATTTACTTATTTCAAAGTGTATTATTCTCTTTGATTGTAAGTGGATTGTTTCGTTAAATTCATTTTGCATTGTTGTGTAGAAAGTCATGTGACTTCAGTGTCGAGACTGCATCCCACACCGCGTTGGATTCACCTCAGGAGTTCCCACTTATGAGACACACTGTCTGCAGGCAGCAAATGTCTTCTTTCTCTCCAACCTGCCTGCCTTTTCCATTTTCTTGCCCAGGACCCCTGGCTAGAAGGTGTAGTGTGATGAGAGCGGACATCCTTTTCCTGGCCCTGATCTGGGGACTTTCAGTCTTTCCCCAGTGAGGAGGAGGTTTGCTGTGGCTTTTTGACATGTGCCCTGTATGTATTGAGGAAGTTCCCTTCTACTTCAACTTGTTTTTTCCCTCCTCCTCCTCCTCCTCCTCCTCTTACAAGACTGTAGGATCTTGCCAAATACTCTTTCTGCAATTTTGGATGTTAAACCGACCTTGCATTCCGGGGATAAGTCCCTTTGCAGATCATCTTTTTTCTATGCTGCTAGATTGGGGCTGCTGGTGTGGTGTTGAGGATTTTTTGCCTACTCACAGGGGATTCTCGTCATTTGTCTTTTCATGTGATATCTTTGCCTAGTTTGGTATCAGGAAAATGCTGGCCTCCTAGAAAGAGTCAGGAGGTATCCCGCCCTCTTTCTTCCTTTGGAAGAGGGTGTGAGAACTGGTCGTAATTCTCATATAAAATTTTGGTAGAGAGCTGGGGCTGGGGCTCAGTGGTAGAACACTCACCTGGCACACATGAGGCTCTGGGTTTGATTCTCAGCACCACGTAAAAATAAAACAAAGGTATTGGGTCCACCTACAACTAACAAAATACATTTAAAAATTGTTTTTGGTAGAGTTCCTGGGAAGCCGTCTGAGCTGGGCTGTACTTTGCCAGAAATATCTTCATCAGTGATAAAAATCTCGTTAGAAGTCTGCTCACATTTCCTCCTGAGCCGCTGGTATCCCTGGTGCTCAGGGCTCTACCGGGAGGCGGAACCCTCAGGACCCATGGAGAGAGATAGACGGGAGGGGCACATCGGGGATTTGGCCCTGTGACTCTGGAGCCAGGAAGCCTCATGGCAAGGTGGAGAACCAGGAAAACCGGTAGAGGTGGCCACTGCTCTTAAGATGCTGATCCCCTGAAGACGTCTCCATGACAGCCCCAGGGGTTGTGGGTGCTGCAGGCCTGTCATTCAGGGAGGTGGGATGGAGAGAGATGGAGGTGGTGGTGGCGGGGGTCAGGGCAGGGCCCCTGAGGGGACACGAGGGGACATGAGGGGACTCTAGGCTGGGGCCTGAGGAAGCTGAATGGGCCATGGGGACAAGAGGCCGTGTCCACTTCACAGAGGGCCCTGAGGCCCAGCCAGAGGTGAGGGCCCCGCTGCTGTGTCCCAGATGCTGGCCTCACTGCGTGTCTGGTGGTGGCTCTGGGCAGGGCCGCACTGAGGGCCAGAGCAGACGCTGACCTCGCGGGCCTGGCTGAGCTGGCTGGCGGCTCCCCGGGCCTGGCACAGGGAGGCGTCCCGTGTCCTCCCGTGTGGCCTGCTCCCTTTTCTCCAAGGCCACCGAGGGCAGCAGCTCAGGGGGGCAGGAGACAGGATCCACCTGCTAGGTGTGCCGAGCCTCGGGTGGCATGGTCTCCGGATTGGCCTCTGGTGGGTCCGTAGTAGATGACCACAGATCAGGTGGCCCAGAACCAAGGAGCGGGTCCTCCCCACTCCAGAGGCCGCATCTGGCATCAGGGTGGGGCCGGGCTGAGACCCGACAAAGGCCCTGGGGGAGCTCTTCCTGCCTCTTCTGGCTCTGGGGCCTCCGGGTGCCCTTGGCTTGTGGCCACATGGCTTGTCACTCTGTCCCTGCCTCTGTCTCAGAATGGCCTCTCCTCTCTCCTTGTGTCGCCTCTGGCCCTTTATAAGGACTCTGACTTGGGATCCGGACCCACCAGGGTCATCTCAGGTTCTTGACCTCGTTACACCTGCAAAGACCCTTGTTGCAAATAAGGAACCAGTGCCCGGGACATAGGCACATCCTCGGTGGCCCAGCACTGTCCTGCGGTCCCAAAAGCCAAGTTGCACCTCCAGATTGGCCAATGGAAGCTGGAAATGAAGCCAGTGTCCACTCCTGGCTCTTGAGGCAGCCTCGCTGCCCTGGGCCTCTGCCCTCTCTGGCCGTCGCCTGGAGTGACCTTTGCCCTCTGCAGGAGGACATGGGGATGACTTATGCGGAGCTCTCCGTGTTCGGGCGGCTCAGGAAGATCGCCAAGATGGGCCCCTACAGCATGTTCTGCAAGCTGCTCAACGTGTGGAGAGACACCTGCACACCTCGGCAGGTGAGGCCGCGCGTGGTGTCACAGACGGAGCCACTCACGGAGCACCCCAACAGAGACACCTCGGGCCACTGGGGCCGGCGAGCGCCCCGCCCCCCAGATACCACCCGTGCTGTGTGCTCTAGGCTCCTGGCCCGGTCTTCACCTTTGTCTGCCGTGTCACCGAGAGGCTCAGCCTCCCCCGTGACCGAGGAGGCCCAGCCTCCTGTGAGCGCAGCACCAGGGCTCCAGGTCAGATCCTGCCCACGGCGCTGTTTTGAGCTGTTGGGGCCAAAGCCCCCAAGCGTGCTGGTCCCACAGGGCTGCCTGGGACCCTGTGGGGTGACTCTGGCTGCCCCGGCCTCCTGGGGCAGGATGTGTCTGTTCTGCCGTGTTCACCTCAGCCAGAGCCAGCCCTGCCTGGTGTCCACAGCTGCCCTGAGGGAAGGCCCCGAGAGGGGCTGTGGCCCACCAGCCTGTGTGCATGCCTCGTCCCACAGAGCGCCACTGCCTGGTGCTCTTCCCCTTCGCACCTCGACGCCCGCATATCGCATGCCCACAGGTGGCCGACAAGGTGAAGCGGTTTTTCTCGAGGTACTCCATGAACAGGCACAAGATGACCACGCTCACACCCGCTTACCACGCGGAGAACTACAGCCCTGACGACAACAGGTTCGACCTGCGGCCCTTCCTGTACAACACGCGCTGGCCCTGGCAGTTCCGGTGCATAGAGGACCAGGTGGGTGCAGCGGCCGCCTCCCGGGAGCCGCGGAGCCCGTCCTGCGCAGAGGCAGGATATGAAGGGGGCGCTTTGCTTGTGATCTATTTTGACAAAAATCGTGCACACGTTGGTGTGTACAGCGTGGCGTTCTGGACATGTGCCCGTTTTGGACTGGCCGGAGCAAGCTGTTCCGCCCGCAGTCCTCATGGCTCTGGCCCTGGGTGGTGAACACATTTCGCATCTGCCCCTGGCCCACGTGTGAGACATGGCACCTTAGCGGCAGCCACCGTGCCACAGGACAGAGCTTCAGAGCCCCTTCTCCTGCCTGACCACATCCTGTGGTCGGCACCTCCTGCTCCTCCTACAGCCAGGAACCCGCTCTGCCCGTCTGTTCATGAGTTTGACTTTTCCACCTCCGTGTGTGAGGGAGAGCCTGTGGTCCCCCGGTGCTGGGCCTGGCTGCTTTCACTGGACAGGACATTCTGCAGGCTCACCGTGTCCCACCGGAAGGACTTCCTTCCTGAGGCTGGGTGGTATTCCACGGGCTCCACGTGCCACACTGCCTGGCCCAGCTGTCCATGGTCAGATGCTTAGGCTGGGGCCACACCATGTGCAGCGGACAACCGCGGTGGACACTGTGGTGCCGACATCACCACACTGTCTGCCTTCTTTCCTGTGGCCACGTACCTGTGGGACAGTGGGTCACACAGTAGCTGGTAGCTTTGAAGGGCTGCCTCCTGCTTCCTGTGCGACCATCTAGTGCCACGGACATTTGAAGCCAATCCGAGGTTGGCCTGGGCTGCTGGGCTGTGCCTGTGGACGGCGCCCTGCACTCGACCACTGGGACCCGTGCGTCATGACCAGGTGCCACTCATGTGGCCTGAATACCCGGTGTCTGCAGGCTCCCCTCCTAAACCCCCCTGCCCTCCCCTTTCTTTTTCCGGTTAGGAACAGAATAAAGGAAGGACTGAGAGTCACTTCAACAAGGGTGGTCCTTCTCCTCCCCTTTTGCCAGGCCCCAGGCAGGAGCCCCAGAAAGCAAGTTAGCCGTGCCCAGCCCCATCTCTGTGAGAGGCGAAAGTGGCCACTTCGTCCACACAGGGACATGGGGTCAGTTGTCAGTGCCCTGCTGAGCTGCAGCCTGATGAGCCAGAAGGAGCCTTCATGCCCAGAGCCCAACAGGAGGCGCAGGTCTCTGAGCAGCTGGTGTGCAGACGGACACACCCACCATCTGCCAGGCTGTCCCCATCAGGGATGGTTGGCCCCAGTGTCTGTCATCGCTGAGGTGGGCGTCCCCACTTTGGCATCTAGTGGTGACCTGCAGGGACGCTGCTTCCGGCCTACAGTGCCCAGGATGTCTCCCCTCACAGCAGAGAATTGCTGGTCCCTGGCATCCGTGGTTGAAGGACGCTCATGTTGGGGCCAGACGAGCCCCTGGACTTCACGGTGGCCAGGTAGAGGTGCCGTGTCCAGCGGAGTACAGTGGAAATGTGCTTCCTAGCAGAGTGACCTGAGGGTTCAGTGGAAGTCAGCAGGAGACACGGGTGGGGGCTGCGGAGCAGGGACTTGGGCAGGGCTCTGCTGCCCACTCACAGGCGCTGTCACTGGGTGGTGCCCGTGCCCTGCATCCTGCAAGAGCCAATGCCCACCTGCTCAGCCACCCCGGACACTGTGCTCCCTGTGCTGGGATCGTGCGGGTTCCTTGGTGACCTGCGTTCTCAGTGCCAGGACCCGGCTGGCCGACTCGGTGCTGGTGGGTGTGTTGGGGCAGCTGGTGCTTGGACACTGTTCTCACGGCCTCTCCCTCCAGGTCCTGCAGCTGGAGAAGAGAGCACAGAAGGACCTCGACGGCGTGGACTGACGGACAGCGCCTGCCGGAGGCCTCCCTCCCCGCGGCTCACTGTGACGCTGGCATCACCGTGACCAAGGACAGGGACACTCCCCACCTGGAGCCACTTGGCAAATCAGCCTTGATCGTTTTAAAGGCAGAGGGAGCTTTCAATCTGATTCCTCTAAAAGAAGCTGAAATAAAGCCATCGGAGCCAGTTAGGAGGGGCCTCAGTGGCCGCGCTGCCTCTCTGGGGCTGGCATGGGCAGAGCAGGGTCCTGAGCGGAGAGAGGGAGAGACCTCCTCCCACCCTCACCTTCCTTCCTGGCCTGGGCTCCCTGCACAGCTTCCTGCTGGGCACCTGGGAGCCGACCTTCCCTACCCGTGTCCTGCAGGTCCAGGGATGAGGCCTGTCCGGTGGCCCCTGTCTC